TGTTAATGCAGTCCCATATATAATTAAACAAAAACTATTCTATAAATATGTTATTTATCATCGTTAAACACCTTAATGGATGGCTTAAACAAATTTAATTTCAAAATGATATTAAAGTTTTACACAATCTAAATTTAATAAATCTATCAAAATTGTTTTAATTGAATCAATTCTATGGCAATTTTGTTGCTTAATAACACTTTGTCATCTGAAAAATACAATGCGGACTGAAGTCATATCTAGACCAGCTTTTGCAAGAAATTTTAAAAATCAATTGCTTTTAAATTTAAAATTCAGTAGGTTCTAAACACGATAAACTATGCATTTCTTTAAATTATTTTTTAATCTGGGTACCCAGGGGGAGATACATGAATTCTGAAAGGGGGAGCACAGAGGAAGGGGGATATTTGTGTGGCCAGTTTCAAATTCTACTTTAAATAATAAGGAAGTTTGCAATTCATGACTAGAAGAAAAACATGTGAGGAATGTGAAACTTGAAAAACACATAATTGCACATATTGCTTGGAATGTTTCACTATCAGACAACATAACACACTACATGCATGAAAAGTATAGAATGCTAGAGTCAGAGAGAAATGGAAAATGAAAAGCTGGAAAGGAGGATAAAATATGTTGGAAGCTGAAGAAAGAGAATGAAAATGAAATATGAGGAATCAGTACAGGAGAAACAAAAAGAGCAGAATGAATTATTTGATTTTCAAGGAATGACTAGACTAGAAATATTTGATGGTTGGGTAATGTTAGCATGGTTTATTGTGTGGGACTTGTTACTGCATGATGCCGACTCTCTGGTGGGTGGAGATGTGGGTGGGGGTGGGGATGAAACTTGCTGGGGGCTGCATTCATGGAATTGAAATCTATAATGGTACAAACACTCTGGTTAGATGGTGAACAGCTAAAGGCAACATATTTCAGCGCCAACAAAGATAATATACATTTGCTGATTATACTGACTGTCAGTGAGTTAATTTCCTGCGAAAAAGCACCAAAGTTGTCAATAGGGTAGGCACCCCCGTGAGCATTTCCATTCCGTGGCTGTTGGTGCTGAAAAATTAGAAGAATACAATATGGATACAAACCAATATATAGATTATATACATGTGCAATATTATAATATCAGGAACAGTTAACAAGCAGATTATAATAGCTCTATATATATATATATATACTCTATATACTGTACATAAATAAATGTTTTGAGAACAATATATTATCTTCTACTGATCGCCCGATTATTTTGACAGTCTAACAGATGAAACATAAATTGCTTGAGATTCAGAAAAGCATGCATCAACCAACATGACCAAAACCAAACAATGATTGATAAATATACTGGTTGATCAATAAATGATGAATTGATCTATAAATAGACAAAGATACATCAATTGATCAATCAATGAGGAAACTAATCAATCAACTTCAATCGATATACTGATTAGTAATCAACTAATCAATCAGCATATTAATTAATGCACTGATTAATCATAAAATGATTAGCAATTAATTTCTGATCAATAATTCAGCAAATATGTTATTAAAATCAATTCAACTGATTAATCAATGGGATAATTATTGGAATAATTGATCAATCAACCAATTAACTGATCAATTCATCAACAACTGATCAATCAATCAATCAACTAATCGATCAATCAACTAATCGATCAATCAATAACCAGATCAATTAATTAATACTGAATAATTAATCGCCACAACAAATCAACTGATCAATTTATCAACAGCTAATCAATCAATCGACTAATCAATCAATCAATCAATTAATCAGACTGATTAATTAATTGCCAGGAAAGTATCTTACAATATACTGTACGGCCAGTGTTTTCCCAATTGAAAAATTTTTACTGGCAAAATTTGTCCATATAAAGCCAGCTAAGCATGCGCAACGTGCGGTATTGCCTCTGTCAAGTAGTGTTCAATGGCTTCAAAAAACAATACATATAATCATTATTCATAGCCTAGGTCTCGACAGGAATGATGATTATTTATTGAAAGAAGGCCAGTCTAGGCTACCTGGGCCTAGTAAGTGTTTTTTTTAATTCTACAAACATAATTTTTACTGGTTGGTCGGTTATTTTTACTGGTAAAATTGACGGCTAAAACGGCTTCTGGAGAACACTGACGGCACATGGTTTCTTTTGTTTGTTCAATACATATGTCTGTCAACAAAGTAACATATGTCAGGGAATTCCATAGCCAACAAATCAATTTACACAAATGTGTATTTTATATATTGCTTTTTTTTTTTACTGCTAACAGTGTATCCAGAATTATTTTAGATTTTTAACTGGTTGTAATGTTTTATGAAATCCCATCTTAATTTCCTGTATGATCTAACATCGTAACTGTAATTTATATTGAATGTAATTTGTATGCTAAATTGCCAATATCTGTATTATAAATAGCCAATTTATAGCATTTTTCTAAATATATACTGCGATTCTAATGTCATATAGATGTTAGATAACATTTTATGAATTGATGTTTATCCAGAAAAGGAAACAAAATTGCATGTTTATATGACAATAGTTGATAATTTTAAATGTAATTTTATTAGTTATCATTATCACTATTATTTATAATTAATTTTATTATTTATCATTATTACTATTATTATTCATATTAAAATTATATACACATAACTATTATCATTCTTTTTATTAACATTTATTGTATTTATTTCTATAAATATTACTATATCATCTCTTTGGTCCCTTAGTTTTAAACACCACTTAACCTCTTCTACCTCTCCATCATCATCATCACCATTATCATTGCACAAAAGTTGATATTCAAAAAGAAGCCCGAAATCATTGTTTATTCAGCCGATATCGAGGGCACACTCATTGTGAAACCACAATGTTGCCTGCCATATGTACGTCTACTATGGTGTATAAATATAATATTTTCAAATTACTGAATGTGTTTTGGTCGCAATCAATACACCAAAAGGCCTGCATGTAACATCAGAATGAGTTTGATTGTCCTCACCAAACTGATGAGCAAATAATGGCCACTTGTGAACTGGCCTGGTTTTCTGCTCACAATATAGCCATGTGGGTCACTTAATTCACTACTTTACTCTTTAGGACCATCATTAATTTGTGTAATTTCAAAAGATATGGAGAGAAACAGATTCAAAATACATTTTAAACATAATTGCACTAACAATAATGCTGTTGAGGTGCATTATTAACTTTTTAAATTCTAAACTTTAATATACAGTACTCTTATTGTCCTGCACTAAATCTGTTCAAGCTAATCCACATGAGGGCAGCAAACACATTTAACAAACTTTTGCTTTTAATGAAAATGTTCTTCTCCAAATCTATAATTTCTATGATTTAAAATTGGTATTTATCTGAATAATTAAAGACATACATTTCCACTGCGATCTTGTTAAACTAAAGGGTCAAATTTAGGTCAATATTGACGAATGGCGTTGTTTTTCCGCACACACAATTAAAACAGATGTTTACAGCAGCTTTTTCTCTTCTCAAGCACTAAAGTGGAAACATTGTTAGACTGTCATAGGGCCTAAGTAATTTCATTACAATTCACCATAGGCATGGAATGATGCTGTAAACATTAACCCAGGAATGCTTTTGGGTATGTTTCAGATCCTGCAAAAATAACCAAGTAATTATCAACACTACATTCAGAATCATATTGGGACAACATAATGCATTTATAGGACAAGACACCAAACAACAAAAAAGCAATTTTTATTTTACAAAGCAAAGGCTAATTATTTTGGATGAATGCTGTGTTTTGGGAAAGAAACATGAAAGAAAATTACAAGATCAAAGATAAACAGGCAAGTACAACTTGTCAGAGATGCTGTACACTCAACACATGCATACTGGTACCCCAACCAGTGACGACGCCAGCAGGGGAGAGAAGGGGAGGGGAGGAAATGTCAAGCCCCTTCCAACCAAAAAAGATAAAAAGTATTTCTTTAAAAATGGTCATAATTGCCCATGTTTTGCTTTTGGGCCCACCAGGGCTTTTTCCCCTAGACACTTCTGGTCTCTCTGGAAAATTGTTAGACGCTCGCAAACCTTAGCTCCCATCGGGCAAATCTTGGCGCCACTACTGCCAACTTCCCAACCCCAAAAAATTAACCCATTCCCAAATGACTACCCAACCCCAAATAACTACCCCACCCTAAACAACCACCCCACCCAAATCAACTACTCCACTACACATATAACTTTCCTGCATTTTTCCATAGAAGCCACATGAAACATTTAACAAAAAGTTTTCAGCTGTGTATAATAGGTGAGCTTACTTTTCAGAAAAAATTATGTAATCATTCTACTTAACATAATGAGGCAAAATTTATAGAAAATTAACAAAAAGCTATATTTTTCTAGGCTAAAAATTCTGTGAAGATAAAAGTAAGGTTACAATGCTTAACCAAATTAAGTGCCAGTTATTGCTATCTCTTAATATAATAGGTTAAAATCTTAAATTATAGCAGATCTACACATATATGGGGCTATGGGAGAACCAACTAATTATAGCCCACCAGAATTTGTTTCTCCATAATTTCGTCAATTCACAGAAGTGTACTTAATGTAAGTGGTCGGTGGCTCTACTTTGCAATAAAACCACCTTGCTTAATGTTCAAAGAATATTGTTATATAATCATGAAAGATATTATTTTTTGAAGAGGGAATTTATTTCTCATAGTGATTGTGAGTGCTGATTACCATGAAGCTCATCTATATGATCAGGTGATTATAGCAAATACATAAAGCAATGAATGCATGTTAACACCTGCCAATATGCAAATAATGAAAGCATGTTAACACCTGCCAATATGCAAATGAGTAAAATAAGCAAACAACCAATCACCATGCAAAAGAATTTAAGATAAAGAATATTGAAAGAAAAAAATAAGAATCAATGATACAAAAGTAATAAAAAGGTCACTGGAAAATAATTTAACCTTTCTTCTTTCGCCATAGAAAAACAGAAAGGTTTGAAGAGTTTTAAAGAGTACACATCCAGTTGTTTGAAGTAACAATTAATTATTTAATTTGCTTATGTAAAATATCAATACATACACTCACTATATGACATACATCATCTTCTTCCATAGAATATACAAAAATGACTTAACAGATGAAGAGCCTATTACGTAATGATCTTCAACAAACACTTCCCTTTATTGTTTTAACTATGGACAGAGGTAGTATACCGTAATAATGAGGGTAATATAATTAAAAGAGCAAAGCAAATATCTTATTTTTTTTTGGCTTAACATGAATGAAATTTGATATTAAACAATATTAAGGATGATATTCAGTTTAAATGTGGGGGGGGGGGGAAGTATACTTTGAAAATATAATAAACAATATATAAACATATTACTGCTCTGCATTAGACTACAACTATTTGTTAAACACAGTAAACTAGAAGCATTAAGACATTTGACCTTAAAATGAGGACAGTAAAACATACATGTTAGGGGAGGGGAAGGGGGAGTGGCTTTAAATTGACAGAGAAATTGCATCCTGAGGAAAAGACCAGAATCATGCTATAAAGTAAAAATAGAGGGCAGCAAACTGGATTTGCTTAAAAACAGTTAGAGTAGTGGGACTGAACTATCATTGTATAAGCTAAAGAAATTTGTTTGAACAAATATTGTGATACATTCCATGGAAGAATTTGATGACAATCATAGATCTTTCAAAGAAATTCTCACACAAACACACACACACAAAATAATAGAAACATCAAGCATATATTTTCTTTTGACGACCTAAAAACAAAAACGAAAATAAAACAGAAATTAAAAGGAAAGTGAAGTGAAGATGAGGACAATGTTAGTTATTGATTTTAAATGCCAGAACTTTCAAACATAATCATCAATCGAAATATACTGCCCAAGTAGATCTGAACAGCGCCATCTATTGACAGATTTTTTTTAGTTTGAATTTCAGATGAATAGCGCCTCCTAATGACATACTGATTGCTACAGAATGATAGTTCTAGCAGTTAAAAAAATCAAAACCATGACAAATGACCTCCTTATTTGCATAACATGAAGCGCAGTGACGCAAGGTGCAAATCCCTGCTAAGCAATCGTCTTAATGCTGAACCACCTTCCAGTGATAAATTACGACACCTGTCCATTGAACAACCAGCGCACATTCATACACCTATACCTTTGATATGACAGTGCTTCTGGGATGCACATACACACGTGGGTTGTACACATCGCGCCGTGTGTACAAACTCTGCACACGCTTTGGTTTCCGTCGGTTATCTTCGGCCTATAGGAGCGGAACAAACCATGCAAGAGGCTGACTGAACATAACAAGCAGACGATAACAAGCAAAACACATTCATATATTGTATTGCATTATGGGACATGAGTTGAAAAATTAATAAGAAATATATTCCTGTATATAATTAAGAAATATGTTTTGCATAATTAATAGTCATAGGATATAACGATGGTGCTTAAGAAACTTGCATTAATAAGTTTCAATACAAGATTAAATAGAAGAATATGTGTTTATGATAAAACACTGAAGATACATTGCAATGATATGTTATAAGCCAATGAAATGAATAGAGACAATAGACATATACTTGGGATTTGTTACAGCTTATTTCAAGCGCATAGAGACTATTGTAATATGCGCTTAATAAATATACAGCCATTACCATTACCATTACAATGTATTGCAAAGCCAAATTATCATTAAAAAAATTATCATCAAAATAATAATTTTAAGGATTGAAACAATCATAAATTACAATAAATTACTGGAATAAAATTATCAGAAATAATGAAAAATTACAAGGAATTATGGGATTAAATAATTAAAATATTACAAGGAATTGTGCGAATGAAATAATCAGAAATTACAAAAAAAAGTGGGATTAAAATAATCAGACATAAGAAATTGACAGATTAAATATATTCAGAAATTACAAGGAATTATGGGAGTAAAATAATCAAAGCTTGTTACCATAGGAAACCAAGTAGGAGTCACAAAAAAACCTGGATGAAGCAACAAGGCGACAAATAGATATAATATAAGTTGGATATAATATTTGGGAAGCCATAGCATTGATGTATTATTCACCATATGCATGAAGCCTCATTATTGTAAGTCCAGAAAGAGAATTTAAGCAGGTAGATGTTACGGTATTCAATAATCTCTCTCAAAACTGCAAGATGATCCGTGAATATATAATCATTATAAGTTAAATATGCAAAGTAGAGCTGGTACACTGGTATGAAATAAGTCTCCATATTAATTAAATTAATTTCATTTAAAGACAGTATATTAGATTTTGCAATCTTGATATTATTATCGGCATAGCATTCTCCAAGTTGTAACATTTGGGTGCGTTTAGCAGAATATATACTCTTAAATGTTATCTTAACTCTACTACAACTTCGCAGAACAGTTATCTTGACTATCCTACAAAGTCTGCAACATCTAAACTCAAAAACTTAAAATTGGAAAGTTTGCAATCGTAGATAGCTAACCTCATCCCTCTGTTTATGGACCATATCTGTGCTGCGGACCTCCGTTAGATAGCTTGGTACGTTGTTCGTTGTGCTTGCAATATTAGCAATACCTTCTATCTTAATGGAACTCGGTAATGGTGCGTCCAGAGGACAGATGTAGTCCTCGTCGTCTAAGCCACCACGTTTCTTGCGTGTGAAAGGCCTCTTCTTTGGCTGACAAATTTGTAAACATTTCACAAACATGATTAATCACTATTCTCCATGCTGCTTATATTGATACAACATGGCTCAATATTTTACATTTTATTGATAAAAAATGCATAAAAAAATAATTAAATTATATAATATATTATGTTACATTAATATATTTTACATCATAGTGTATAAGTCATAAGTCACATTTATTGACCAATCAAAACGTTTACAATAAATCAGGAAAAAAAGAAAACACAAAAGTGACAGGAAGATGGCCAAGAGACCTGTCATTGTAGCTCATTTTGACAAATAACGAATAATGTAATTAACTGTAAATTTTTTAAAGATTTTCAATAATAAATGATGTTTTCCATGCTCCTGTGTTATTGTGTGTTTAGTCTCATGGTTCCAAACGTTTACGTTTGCATGGGTTGCACCATTACATTACCATTTTTTTATTTTTCAGTTTTATACCTAATAAACAATTCATAAAAAAGGCTTTTCTTACTCCTGTATTATTGTGTGTTGTATCTCATGGTTCAAAAATTCTCACTTTCTCATGGATTAAACTGTTCCGTTACAATTCCCCCTTATCCTTTTTTTTATACAAATTGAATATAATAAATGAATGAATGAATAAATGAATAATGAATGAATGAATGAATGAATGAATGAATTACAACAGTGTACAGAGCTTGAGATAAGTTGGCACTTAAATGCTCAACAAACTGGTTCCTTTCAATATTTTGTATGAATATGGCCAAAAATTGTAACTCCTCCCTGCCTGCTTCGATTCTGTAATAACTTATGAACTTTCCCCCTAACAATACAATCTTTCTTAGTCACTGGAACAGCATATCATAACAAAGGTAATTTTAATTTTAGATTTTTTGCCTAAGTAGATCAGATTCGGTGATCACTTGTTCTGAAAAACCAGATGGCCACGAAAGGGCCTCTTCTTTCTTCAGAGCCTCTTTTTTACTTGGCCTAAATTTTATTTTTGATTTGTTGATTATGATTTGATTTTGATAAGTTGAGTCTAATGAATGATGTCATTATTTAACTGAAAAAGAAATATTTTGTTTTGTACCTTAATTTTGGCAAGTGAATTTAATGGTACAAAAGTTGGTATCCTCTCAACCTCTCGCTTCTCCGCCTGAACATCTGCTGTAACCAGGGAAACAAAATGAGTGTTGAGGTGGCGACGCAAAAGTGTCTTGGTCGGAGGAATACATAGCAATGCTGCTAATGTATCCGCTAAGAACCGAGGTTCTAAAACCTGCAAGAAATAAGCAATGAAATAAGTAATTGTTATATTATTATTATTATTATTTATATAATTTATATAGCACCTTTTCTTTGCAGATACAAAGCGCTTCTTCTTCTTCTTCTTCTTGCCCAGCTGCTGCCGTCATCATATTGACGATTTTGCAACTATAACGGGCTTCCATGCAGGACAGACTCGCTTAAACTTTTGTTTAAGGGCTTCCATGCAGGACAGACTCGCTTAAACTTTAGTTTCCATGAAAATGGTTATTATCATTATTATTATTTTGCAATTATTTATTTATTTACTTATTTTTTTAAATATTTCTTATTTTTTTTCTTTTCCCTGGTCATTTGGTCCACATGCTTTAAGTGTTGCAGCTGGTAATCAGCGCAGGAGCAGGCAACCCCACCAGGTACCCATTTAGACTCCTGGGTGGAGAGAAGCAATGCAGATAAAGTGCCTTGCTCAAGGACACAAGCGAAATGTACAGCGAATAATTGCAACCCTGACCTCGAGGTTGGGAGACCTCAAGGTTGGAAAACCTCGCTGCGACAAACCACTTCTTGTTTATTGTTTTTAAGTCTTGCCATCAAAATTGCAACCAATACACATTATTCCTAAAATGAGAGCTGTTAATCTATCATTATGCATTTCAAAGAGGCCATTTTTATCTACTTGTCGATTTGGAGCCATTTTCTGTTATTACATTAATGGAATACATTATAGCTGTATTCAAATATTAATCTGTATTGTTTAAATTAATTCACTCAAAAACAGACAATAATCATTAAGCTCCATTATCTTGACTTTATAATTTGTGAAACTAATTTCCTTATAAATTTTCATAGGCATACAAAAAATATTTAACAAATTAAACAAATTTATTGACAGCTCTATTACCATCAGAGCCCCATGAACACCACTACCACGCATGTTGGGGGCGTACTCCGCCAGATCTACTGATCGCAGCCACTCCATGACTCGGTGATTGGACCATAACATAACTTCAGCACCACTCTCATATGGCTGCAAAATTCAAAATAATAACATAAATTAAATTTTTATATTACAAAACGAGGGTTTCTCCATAAAAAAATAAATCAATCAATTCTTTGGAATCATTTGGATATATTTGAGTAGGTATTATGGAATTCAAACCATATGTTCTTTGTTCTACCCTTTTTATCTAGGTGTGACGCTTCATCACATTTCCATGAAAAAAAAAATTTCAAGAGAAACACTGAAAACAAACTTGCGCTGCAGAGCATTTTCTGTATAATTATTGTCGAAACACATCGGAAAATAACTTTGTAATGGAAACTGGCAATATATAACTGATTTTGATTGATTTGATTGATTTTTTTCTATTGTACTTAAATCTGTCTCAAAAAACCATTCATATAACATTCTAAATAACTTATGAATAAATGCTAAATAGGATATAAAGGTACAGATAAGAAAGGCATGCAGAAAATCAAGTAGACCAGGTTTTGATAGTGTAAAGCAATAAAAGAAATGTGTGTAACAATACTTTGCAATAGAATACGGCATAAAGCAGGTGTCAAAATATAGTGGTTGGGCCTGCCAACTACCAAATATCAATGACACAGGAAAGTATAAACATTATGCACCAGGCATCAGCATTCCCATAACACACATACATCTAAATATTAAAATAAATAACAATTATAATAAAAATAATAAATAATAAATTAAATTATGACACTAATAAATTGTTGACACAGGTTCCTTTCTCAGATAAAATAATATAATAATGATGTTAACAGTAATAATAATAATATAGAAATTTATATAGCCTTTTGCCAAAGGATATAAGGCGCGTAGATATGTGGACTAGTAATAATATATACAATAACAATAATAGCAGTAATAATTTAATTTATAAAAATAATATATTAATAACAACACTAATAAATAAGAGGCTTGAGATTCAGATTAATTTTGTAGTTTTACGATAACTGTGAGGCATGAATGTTATACCAATGGGTAGGGTTTGTTGTACTAAGCACTTCTACCTCCGACATATAAGCACCCCAAAAAAACACACTAAAGACTCTAAATACTAAGAAGAATATACTTTTTACATATTACATATATAAAATAAAACATCCATGTACCTATTTATATAATAGCAATGACAAATATATTGTATATAGAAGCAACAAAATAAAAATACCTGAAATGCTAAAATAAGCATGCAAGATATCTGATTTACATTATATATTTCAAGACTTTTGAAATAAAGGTAGACCAAGGCAGGTAGATAATGGAGTTAATAAACAAGGATCATATTTCCTTGGCCAAAATGAAAGCCCATAAATGTAGGAAGATCTATACAATCCCTTTTGTATGCCACAAATTCAGTATATGCACTGTATATGCATAAGTCTGGCAGAATCAGAATGACAAACACAAAAGAAAATATTTTAGAACCGCAAAGACTAAAATCATGAACCCATCATGCAAGGAAAGGAGGAACAAGCTTATTTATATACCGATCATGCAAATTGACACTAAAACAGCGTAATAAGATGTGATTTGAGGATGTAATATAGGGGCTTGTGTATGTTTACCAGTTGGGAACTCCAATTTGGTACGCCAGGCATTCTATCATACCGCGCCTGTGGGTAAAAAGCCAACGCCTTTCAGTATTTGGTTCACCAGTCAAAAATATACTTGAACAATGGTAGGCCATATCATTTAAAACATTTAGCATTGTCGTTGATTGTTTACCACAATGCACGCTGGAAGTAATATGGTGGTCTTGTATAGCAGATATTAGCAATTGTGTTTTAAAACTGCTTTTGCACTTTCTCGATAAGTAAAAGGCATTTTCTAAAATGTTGAAATACAAAGAAGAGCATCTGTGGACCTACATATCGTCATGGCTCAGAGCACACATGATTACTATTTACTATTAGCTTCAGCCTTCTATTTAATATCAAGAAGTACTTTTCTCCTATAATGCACTGTGGTAAATCCAATGACATACTTAACATTAACACTACTTCATTACAATTTTTTAAAGATTTCTGATCTTAGATACTTGAAGCTAATGTTATTGTCATCTGAAAAATAATGCTAATATAATAATAATAATAATAATAACAATAAATAATAATAATAATAATAATAATAATAATAATAATAATAAATACAATAATAAAAAAAAAACAAAACAAAAAACAAAACAAAACAAAAAAAACCCCAAAACAATGCTGTAACTACATATAGTTATTAAAATATCTAGTTCTTATACCCATGTGGGGTCAGTTCACGATGAGTTCTCCTGAAGGTCAGAGGTTAATTATTAGGTTGCAGAATGCTATAAATTCTTCATAACAATTTATTGACAGTTAGTTATTCTTGTATGTTTTCAATATTTCAAATTCCAACAACCAGCATGCTCTTTAAAAAAATCACCAAATACAAAATGGAAGAAGCATTAATTTAAATTTCAAAATGTTAGTCAAAATGACAATTAGAAAAGAGAAGAGAATTAAACCAATAAAGTGTTGTGATTTGTCAGAAGCTTTGAGCTGAAAGGGTGGAGCGCTCAGATTGGTCAGAACCTCTTAGGTGAATGAGTCATACTATTAGAAAGTTGTGATTGGTTAAGTGCAGTGACAACAAAAAAGAGTGATATACTCTTAATAACTGTGAGATATTATAAATTTCCAAAGTTTATTACAGGTAATCTGGTTTCTGTTTCAAAAAACACCATAATAAAACAATAGTGGTTTTGTGATTGGTTGAACTAAATTCAGTAAGCCTGTGACTGGTCAACTGTTGTAGATTTTTAGCATTAGATAACCTATCAGATAAACCCATGGCTAATTAAAAAATAATAAATTCTATAATCTGTAATCTATAACACCCATTTTACATTAAATTAGAAATTACTCTTTATTAAAATAATTTGAACGAAAATAAAATGATAAAGCCTTGCAGATTCAATAAAATAAAGAAAAAATGGCGATCATGCCTGCAACGTAAAAGAAAATTAATCAAAATGAAAAGAAAATAGCTTTGCCAGCATTTCAACCAATCATTCGTCCCCGTGCTGCATGTTGCATAGAAGTGCCACCAATTAACCAATCAACTTTGAGTTTTATAAAACCTACCTCCATCATAATAGGCCACACCTATGTCAAAGTAAATTACAAATGTTAGTAGCAAATGAGGGCATTCATTTATGTGTACAAATTTTGCATAAACTGGATAGGTACCAGTAATGGTAATGTTTGACACCTGCGGATTCATCTATGATACAACTATTTCAAAGTCACTGATTGGTCTAGTCAAGAGTGACATTAACAGTCGATCACTGATAAATTGATTCTAATCTAAACTTACATTTACTTTTATGATTTGAACATTTAATTTAATTTTGAAAAAGAAAAATCTAGAAGATTCCTAAAAATATTTGAATAATATAAATTTATGTTTCATGACTCATCTTTACATTATTTGTTATTTATTGCTGTAACATCAGACACTTCCAAGGTAATTGCAAGACTTTTCAGTTTAAAGGGGGAAACTGTTATAAATATTCAACTTATATATAAAACTTATTAGCTAGCAAATGTAAAAAGTCAATATTATGACATCAGTATGGTAATATCATAGACTGTGATTAAAGTAAGTTACCTTCAGTTAAAATATCACAGGTCATTTATGCATGAGGAATAGGGAAGTGAGTACTATATAAATGATTGGTAAAAAGCATAATGTGGAAATATCTAACTAAACTTATTCTAATAATGAATGACCATACAATAGTGCATGTATAAACATTAACAAGGTAAAAATATATTTATTTTCGCACAAGTTCTATTCTAGGGTTTGCGTTGTCAGAGCCAAGAATCATCCATGTTAATCTTTATGAAACAATATGGGCACGTATGGATTTGAGTCTGGTATATAAGCGCAAGCTTCTGTTTGAGACTCAATTTTTAGTGTTATGGCAAAAATTCTCTAGTATTTTCAACTGCACATGCATATGCCAAAGGTTAATCCACATAAACTACACTCAATGGCTCGCACTACCAACTCCATATTTTACAAAGCATTATTACTAAACAGCTGTTGATCTTTATAGTATACAGTAACCGATTATTGCAACAAAGTAGGATGTGGTAAATTCATGATTTTGCCCATGAGCTTGATGATGTAACATATATTTTTACGCATGTATTTAAGTCTGGTATATAAGCATAAATTTATTGACAAATGCCTAATTCAATCTTTGCCTATATATTATTATGCTAATAATATTAATCTCCTTGAATTCCTATCAAATGCTTTGAAATCAATATTATAATAATAGATTTTTGCATCTCACACTATAGAGAGTGTGTATGGTGTAATACCATATGCAATGTGTACATATTAATGTCATTTTCTTTTAATAAGTTTACAATTTTGGTTTTGTATAATTTGAAACTGTGGCTTGTGTTTTGTTAAATCTATTAATAATTCAATCATCATCGTTTATATAACTTCAAGGAAATATAAATAAACATGACAATAATCACTGCAAATGTTTATGTAATAGAATGAAATTAAAATTCAATAACAAAATTGCATCATGGGATTCATATATAAACAAAATTATATACTTGGGTTATAGGCAAAAATAGACTTATTAGTTATGCCGATTATAACAATTTCATTATGGGAGATAAATAACAATACAAAATTGCGTAACAGGAAAGTATTATGGAAGAGACAAATAATTAGTAACGCTGTTGAATATATTTACCTCGTCAGTGGGTCTCCGTCTCAAACAGTTGGGATTGAAATTGTTAAGTCGGAGACACTGTATACCACGCATTATGCTAATGTGGTGTAAGGCACTGGTGACTTTTAATGACAAGAGGTCATCCTATAAGAAAAAAAAAATATGAAAAGAATCAATTAAATGTATAATTCTACCATTAAAAGTTGATCAGTGCTGGCATTTCAACTAAAACTGTATTTTCATGTAAGTGCTGGAAAAAATACCCCAAGATCAGAAAAGAACTTAATGATTAAACTAGATTAGACTAGTGGATTAAAAGGGCAGCTCACTTAAGCCAATAAATGGGTTCTAGGTGATACACAAAATGAAACAATTCTCAAAAATGAATGCATGTCATTTAAGGGATCAACAATGCATAAATGACGGTGTCTTGGTGGATTAACTTTTTGTCATATTTAAGATCAGAGCTTCAAAAGTATGTCATCTTCGTTAAGTTCATTCTAACAGTCTCTTCAAAAGTTTATTTTGTAGTCCCGGAAAATTTAAATCATGTCAAGTGCACAACGAGTTCATCTCTATAAAGAGAAAAGTTATTTTGCAGTTTCAACTTGCATGCTGAAAACATGAGTTTATGATGACATTAATTAAATTTCTTTCTGAATTCCAACAAAGAATGATGATTGTCATAACCAAAAGAATTATTACATATGTTCTGTTGATTATCAGTTTGATACTTACAATCAACATTTTTATGTTTATAAGAAAGTAGGTCGCACTATTAGTATGATATTATGCAGATATCATTCTTCTTAATATTTATCCAATCAACTATTTCCAATCATTTCTGTCACCAAATCTTTATTAAACCTTCTTTGTTTTCTTACTCATCTCTGTATATATTAAAAGATTTAGAGATAAGGTATAATAAAATCATGTTTACAATCAATGACTCCTTGTTGTCAGATGCAGCTTAAAGTAATCAGACTAAAAAAAATGTATTTGACGGTCCAACCAAAGCTTTCATCATTGCAGTTACTAATAGGTTTAGAGGACACAATTTGTACCATCTATAAAATTTCTCCCCATACTCCCCACAGGGATTTTACTTTGAGACCTGAACTGAGGCCACTTTTGTTTGGGCTCCTGTCAGTTTTGTTCAATCCCTGTTGCAAAATTTCTGGGAGCCACCACTGCATTATATAAACCTGTGAATTTTTTGGGGATTCCATTAGTGCAGAAAAAGCTCAATCAAATATTATTATATTTGTCCATCCAAAAGTGTCAGCATTTGCAAGTATTCCAAAGTTTTAAAGGTGTTTCTTGTACACCCTCAGAAGGGAGAGCAGAATTTCCCTTTACTTACCACTGTGAGGAAATGAAGCATTCTGCCATCTATCCTGGCTTCATGGAAGGCATCTTTGTACTGTGGAAGGCCAATATCATCTAACCACCTTGTCACCCAAGTGTAATCTAACTCCCCTTTCTTATCCTTCTCATTATTGTTGATCGCTTGCAGTGCTAACTGCAGCTTCTTACGATGGAGAGGGTTCTTTATACCAAGTTCCTGGAAGATAGCAAGAAAAAAAAAAACACAAAAGTTAATAACATGCTGTTCAATGTATGAGGGCTTCAATAAATCACCCTGCAAGAGCAACTCTCTCTAAACATTGTTAAATAAATGAATAAACAAATAAACAAACAAATATATTAAAAGCTTTTCAAAATAAGGGAATATTAAATAAAACCTACTCATAAATAGCAAAAAATCTTTAATTTTTAAGTATGTTCAGCTATCTATGCAAATGGTATGCAAATAGACTTGAATGCTAGATGGAGAAATATCTAGTAGGACTTAACAGAAGTGTCTTTACCTTACACCATGTATCTTAGTCATCGATAATTTTTTCTCATAGAGATTAAAATTTTAAAGTTCACCGACTTAATAAGCATTAATCAATAAACGGAACTCATCATCTAATACAATCGGATTAATTCTCCAATAAAAAATCTTTTTTTAATGACAAATAGTAATTTCTTTCATAATTCATTTGACGTAAAATGTATGGCTTATGTGCTCTGCATGAAACTAAGTAATATATATATACTTTGGTAATACAATGATTCTGGAAACATGAATGCAAAATTAGGTTAGTGTCTCAAAAATTTCTTGGAATTAAAATTAGCTTACACAAACTGAATAATACATATTTCAACCATATTTCATGAAGATCTATTTAGAAACTTTCTTCTTGAAGTTATTTACCAACAAGACCACACAGCAGTATATTGTGTTTATATAATGAATGCGATTAATGTTGGCTAAAAAACTTAATTATTGATTTGTTTCAACCATATTTCATTAAGACCTATTTAGAAACTTTCTTGAAGTTATATACCAACAAAAGCCAGATGTCAGTATATTGAGTTTATAATGAATGCAATTAATGTTGGCTAAAAAACAAACTTAATTATTGATTTATTTCAACCATATTTCATTAAGACCTATTTAGAAACTTTCTTGAAGTTATATACCATACCAAAAGCCAGATGTCAGTATATTGAGTTTATAATGAATGCGATTAATGTCGAAAAAAACAAATTAATTAATTATTGATTGACCTATTTAGAAACTTTCTTGATGTTATATACCAACAACTGAATAATTTATTTATTTTGGTCATTCCTTTAATAAAAGGGAAGCATTTAGGAACTGCTGATCGAATGTTCTTAAAGTTATACATCAACAAAGTTTACTCAGCTCTATTTCGTGGTTTTATTGAATGTTCGAAAAGAATATTGTATCTTTAATAATGTTAACTCGTAAAACTATCCCATAATTTCTTGCAGCTAATCAGAGAAACATTGACCAATAAACACACAACTCCCCACAAATCTATAAACAAGACTGGATCAATATGCAAGGCAATTATAGAAAACAAAAATCATATATCAATTAGAAAAAAGTAGGTTTTCATGAATCTATTCTTTCCCTTGTCACTCACACTATACAAAAGTTGCGGTGAAGCCTCCAAAAGAGTAGCACCATTCTTCACGGACACACGACACATGGAGACGTACTGGGAAAGGCCGAGCTCATGGAGCCATGCGGCCACTTGATCCGTATCCCACTTTGCAAATGGCATATCAATGTCTCTGTAAATGGAATAATAAACTGAATTAATAATAATCAATATTTGTGAAATGATATTAATTGGTAAAAAATACTACAATGCAAATTTGATTTTTTAGTAAAGAAATGTTCATGATAATCAATAATATAAAAATAACATTGCTTATATTACATCCTTCTAGAATGCTATGACTTCAGAAATCCAAATCAAGTTTTGTAAAAAATGAATTTAATATTAACATTTTTAAAAGAAATTTAAACAGTTTACATTAATTACATCAATTAAGTTACTTAAATCTTGATAAATAAAGAATGCAAGAAACTGAATTAAAATGAAACAGGAAACATGTTTTAAAATTGAGAATAACCCCATAAACATATAAAATATATATACAGTGAATCTAATATAAAGCATGTCACTTGTGAAGCATAAAAATGATAAAACTAAAACTGGAGTCTGAAACAAAAATAAAAAATTTAAAGTAAAACAAAATATGTAAATTGGGAGGAAACATGGTGAATGATGTGAAGGTTAAAATGATGGGGATGAAATAGGGGTCAGACAAACCATTACAACAAAATATGTGCCCTGACTTTCATATACCCAAAGGTGGTACAGTGGAAAGATGCAACCTGATGGGACACCTTTATAATAGGGTAGAAAAACAACAATGGACAGACACATAAAATATGACCTTTTAACAAAATTTAACATAATTGCAAATATGTTCACAACGAAAGGGATTCACACCATTTATGGAATCAAAAGATTTTCTCTTCATGCAATTAAATGAATTTTTATTTATTATGGTTTGCATCAAATGTTATTTATTCCAGAGAGTATCTCGAGGAAAAGCAAAAAACTATTATTTCAAGAAAAGCGTAGAACTATGTATTATATTTTAAATTATAGTTATTTTTAAAGCAAGAATATTAATCCATCATTGTTAAGCAGGTAGATTTATTTTAATGACAACAGCACAGGTGGTTATAGTTTTAGCTTTAAGTCTGTCAGCAGAGCAGAAGCCAGGCAGTCATTGTTAGTTGTTTAAAATTATTCCACAAAGTAGTAAATCACATGGTATATTATGTTTTTAAATACTAATTTAGCTCATGTATCAAAACCTGTTAAATTTCAGATCAAACAATCTACGCCTGTCTATATGCATTCAACAACACTTCTCTATCGCACGTACACACAAATATGTTTGGAACTTTCGTTTATGTTGATTTTCTAGTTTACAGAATTTTAATGTTCTCAGGTCTGACTTTGTATACTTATCAACAAACCTTCCACAACCTTTAAGAACTTTGTTCAGATAAAGTTTATACCATAATAATATGTATTAATGTTATTTATATTATTTTTATTTCAATATGGAAAGTTTCAAAACATTTTCAAATGTGGTATTTATTTATACATAATAATTTTAGGAGATTATGCACATAATTAAGGATTTATAAATAAGTATTTATGAAGAAGTATTTATGTTTAAATCATAAACTTAAAGCAGAACTATCGTATAATTGAATTTTAGTATTCTATGAATAATTGAATATAGTATTCAATAAAAAAATAAATTATACAAATATTGTCTCATAAGATTTCTAAATATAGATTAAAGTTTGTTTTAAGCACCAAATAAATTGATATTGTTTTTTGTTGATGCAAAATATTATTACACTGAATTAGTTGAAAACTGCTAAAGGTTGCAAACTGAACAAGTCACTGAACATAATTTACATCTAGTCAAGGTACAATGACTTCTGGTCATAAATAATTCACTATTGTCGTCAACTCAACATCGGAAATAATACTGCAAAATTTACGATGATATTTACATGGCCGGGATATCTGACTAGACATTTATAAATTTGTTCTTGGAACTTAACAATTTTATTTCCTTAAAATGCATTGAAACCAATTAAATATGATTTATTAAGTCAGAAAATAGCAAAAATAATGTCATTGTGCTAAAATTTTAGTGATAAAAATTGAAGTTTTAAAGTATATGTAAAGTGTTAACTTGTGCGTCACTGTGTAGTCATATGACGGGTGATTTTATAATTGCTGCAGCAGTTAGAAGCAATTCAGAATGTCGTCTGACGTACTGCAACTCGAATTAGCAGACGACGGTCACACCTTTATCTTTCCATAAACACCTTAAGTAATGTTTATATATACAGGTGTTACACAAATATATATTCACACCCGTACCAGTTCATCAACTAAACTGTTGGCATATAGTTGTACTTATACAATGAAGTAACATTATGTAAAATTAGTAAGACATTATGACAAATTATAAAGATGTAATATAATTTGAACAATTACAAAAAAATGGATGTATGAACTAAATACAACAAAATGAATCTTTAAATAAGTTATATAAACTATTTAATACTAACATGGATAAAATAAAATATTAAAAGTATGTTATTTTATAGTTATATCTAACTATGAAACCTTATAATTTATGAGTGAATAAGACATGGAAATATGAATATGTTACATAAAATATATAACATGAAAAATATGATTAAACAAAATATGATTGAATAACTAAACTTGAACACTTAGCATACTTTATTTTCATGGTTATATTATTTACATATTTATAATTTAATGTTATATAAAAAACATAAACAATTATAAAAATAATATATTATAAAATTAAGTAAACTATATTACATGTGTATTATATATTATGTCAATATTAAAATTAGGTTTTAGACATATTTTTAATGCTTTCTTTATTTTGGTATTATGTTTAATTTTAATCATTTTTAAAATGGATTTTAACCTGTGTTGCATGCACCTTAAACAAAGAGAATAAATATAAAGTATCTTAAAAAGAAGTTATAATTATATCATGCAGGAAACTATATTAAAATCTGCTGTAGGAACCAACGTTGCAATCAAACAGCAAAGTTACAATACGAGATGATGAGTAAGCAGTGCAATAGTACTGTAGAAATGCCAATAAACGCTGATGTGCAAAAACTTCATGCTGGCTACACCTACTGTTTTAATTCCAATCTACGAAGCCACGGACCAACTTTTGAGAAATCACTCATCGAGAAATCGTATTTCCCATCCCAGGTGGCCGATTGCACGTGCCTAGAAACGCACGCAAGATACACGCAAGGATGAACACGCAAGAGGTGGTTGCAGGAAGAGAAAGAGAGTGGGAGGAAAAGAGGATAATATATAAAAGTTAAATGGTACTAAATTAAGAATTGTCATTGCATGCTTCTAAACAATTATAGACGTATCTCACAGATTGGTTATCGATTTTATAGACTCTCAACCACCTTGATTCAGAGACTGTTAATATTCCACGCCAATAAAATGACCAGTGTTATAAAAATAGTAAACATTCAAATTTGTACAGAACTGCATTTATAGGCTAAAATGTTTGTATTATGTAAATAGAATTACCACTCTTTCAAATGCTAGCATGTAGGCTAGCTCCAATTTAGATTCAACCGAATGTCTTAAAGTATATATTCGTTTTTGGGACATTCTTTGGCAGCTATGTTGGCATATATGTATGCCAGCAAAATGTAATACCATACTCAATAAATGATTGCATATATTTTGTATGTATACTTAGATATATACTTACAAATATGCAGTATTATGTAATCATACATTAAATACTGCAGCATATATGTAGAATGGTATAGCATATGCAAGCACTCAATTAGCTGCTAGCATAATATAGTTGCATTAATTGAAAGCAGTGGCATATATGGAAGCATCTACTAAAAATAGTAGCATAGCACAAGGAAAATGGCAGTATTCAAAGCAAATGGTAACATAACATATGTGAGGTCTCACTACAAAATGAGTCTCATCGTTAGAAAATCAAAAAATGAGTTTATATTACATTTTGTAGATCAAATTATAAGCTTTAATTTGGTCTTTGAATGGCTTCCCTAGGATGAGTAGATCTAGAGATGTTAGCATTTAAAGTTTAGGTGTATGAGAAACAGGTTTTGAGAAAATCGGCCTCGAAGATAAACTAATCTGTACAAATAATAGGACTAGAATTACAGAATATGCGAAGAGAACACTGTTTTAGTAAGAAAATTCACTTAAAAAGTACACAATCATAAAGTATAATTATCAAGTTATTCAAAAACATTAAAATCAAAATTTTGTAAAAATGTTGCCTTTAACCTTTTGGTGAATATATCAATATGATTTCACCAACGATGCGTCTCATTTCGTGGTGAGACCTCACATATATGCTAGCATATGTACATTTTGCTAGCATAATTGACAGTAGTGGCATATATGAATATACCATATATGGAGAATGTTAGCATATATGGCAGCACACATACAAATGCAAACATTCACACTAACAGATTCATTAGCATTATTGAATACTACACGTTCAATATGATTAAATATCTACAAACAAATACATAGAAATATAAATTTTGCCATAGCTTCTATATACATTAACTTCCCTATTTCTCTCTCAATGTTCCAGGAATATAAATAGGTGCCTGGTAGACATGATTGTTTATGCATGGCTAATTGCTGGAAGAAACCTAATGGAAATTGCAAAATGTACATTGTTTATGTATCCAATCGTCATGACAATTTTACTTTCGATATCAGAAGAGCTATATTAACGCATATATTTTTTTATTACCATTATTATTATAATTATTGTTCAAATATTTAAAAAAATACCACTATTATTAGGAACGGAATTGAGGATTAAGCTCTGGTTGGACAGGTTAGGCCCTACTCGGACAGGCTGAGCCCCACTCGGACAGGCCGAGCCCGACTCGGCCAGGCCTAGCCACACTTGGACAGGACAAACCACAGTCGGACAGGCCGAGCCCCATTTGGACAGGTCAAGCACAATTCATCCATGAATAGTCTGATTAGAAAATTATTTTTTTCTTTAGAAAAAAGATATTCGGGTATAATCCCTTTCTAAAATGCCTTGGAACATAACAAAAAAAAATAGCTGATACTACTTTGCTTCTTGAGTCTATGCGTGAGAGACAGGACAATTCGCCAGGACTTCGCATTTGGCGGCCTCCAAAGAATATCGTCAGCTTTCCCCCATCCAGAGATACTCTATGGCCACCTTTATTCACAAACACTGTCTTAACAGTCAGTTCCCTAAGGCTGATTTTCAGTCTTAGTTTCCTAGAACGTCATAGTCACCCGTCATTTAAATGCCAAGTTATGAACGTAATAAATAACAAAAAAACTTTGTGATTTCAACTAGTGAAATATCAAATGTTAATACCAAACTACTGTAAACAAATCGAGGGGCAAGGTCATTCAATAAGAAAATGCTGCGAATATTGACATATTAAACAGGATAGACATTATCTGTTTTCGTTAAGTCATTTCCTATCTGCGTACATTTGTTTTCCATCCCGCTATTATGTGTAAGTATATATGTGACCAAGGCAAATGCTTACAAAATACAAATTATAATCAGACTTTTTTTAGAACATTTCAAATGAAAGGGAGGTAAATAGTACATGAACCTGTGGAAAAATGCGCAAACTTTGACAGACAAAATGAGAATATATTAATATATATTATTAATATATATATATAGGAAATATATTATATATTTTTGTTGTAAATAACTTATTGTATTTGTATGTTAGCGGATAACGGCCCTTGATGGACAAATAAAGCAATAAATTGAACTGAACTGATTGTTTACTTTAATTTAGTATTATTACAATGACATTAACACCAAAGGTAAAAAGCCAAACATTGCAATTAACTGAAACTGTTTATTCTTTACCTTCCAAAAGAACATTATTAGAGTAATCATTATAAATATTATTATCAGGCCCAGAAAAAAATGTTTATGCCTCCAATCATGAAAACTGTCTCAATAAAATGACTCCAGCACCAAATGTTATCTGTACACTATATAGGCCAACAGTTTATATTTTTTAAATTTTTTACCCCCAAAATACCTCCAAAAATGCCTCCAACCGCCCGTCGTGTGGTCGTGAACTTTTTCCAGCCCTTAATCTTATCATCATCTATTGTCATCATATTCATTATTTTTATAAAATCAATATTCTTCAGGGAGTAAAATAATTCCGTATGGAATAATTTGCTTGAGGAAAGGGGATTTTAAGGTGAGATGGGGCCTTTGACGAGGGAAAAGGCCTTTGAGGTGAAAATGAAATTCTTTGAAGAGACAGACTTGTGCTCATGTTTGAGAATTAAAATATAGCCCTTTAAACGTCTTCAGGAAGTAAGCAAACATTTAGGTCAGAGTGCAACTGCATTCATTATTTTTATAATGAGGAATACATGTTATGGGAGTGGGGGTGGAAAAACCAGCATTGCATTTCTAATTGTATTTCTTAATATGTAAACAAATAACGCATTTGTTTATATGACTTTATAACTTTGATGTACCTACAGTAATGCAGATTTTTAAAAGCTTTTAGACGGAGACCCTTGAATTGTATACTTAGAGGCAAAAAATCAATGTTGTTATAATTCACCTTAAATGGCAAAGCTGAAATTTCTCGTTTATATACTGTTGTGAGAGGTTTAAATACTAGATGAATGCACGTATTGTAAAGTTAGTGTAATGAAAGCCTATTCCACAAATTTAACTACTCGCATTGAAAATGCAAGATACAATATACAACATATTTTATATCTTATAATTTATAGTGCACTTAGTATTTTCCTTCCTTCATTACTATCTACCTTAAGATCTCCAACCAATATGTTACACCACTGATGTATTTTTCATGATAAGAATAAACAAGACAACGTTTAATAAACATTTAGGGGAAAAAAAGTGGAAAAAATACAGGAATTAGAGATGAGAAAGGAGTAAGAGGAAAAGATGAGGATTAATAGGAAGAAATAAATGTACCCAGGGACATAGGGATAGATAATCTGGCCCTTTCCCTTCTTTCATTCAGGCAGAATGATTCCCCTTTTATCACAAATGAGCAAGGGTTTGCTTCACTATTGTTTGAACTAGTTCTACCTTTTTATTTCTAGAAAACAAAAACGAAATAATTTAATTGTTTATTTAGTGCAATATATTTGTCTGCAGCTGACGAGGAACATGTGTGAAAACATGGTGGTTACTGATGTAATTACACCCTGATTGGCTGTAGAAATGGTTCTGAAGTCCGATTCAGGAAATATCAATTTCATTTGGATTAATAGCGAGGACAACATGGAAAACATTATATATAATTTACTAGTGTGTTTGTCAAATTCAATTGAGTGGATTTGTCTGGTGTCTCTGCCTTCATTTTTACAATTGTACAAGCTTAAGAAAAAGAATTAATTGAATACTTCCAAAATGTAGAAATATTGAAAACATTTCAGTACAAATAATAATACAATAAAAAAACATATAAAATATGTAATGAATATATATCATAATGTTTATGTACATATATGGTACAACACTGAAATCAACTGACAACATTTGAGAATAGCCAATCAATATGGCATAGAGAAAAACCATCACCTTAAAACTACACAATCTTAGTAAATGTGTAGAGCCTTACCCATTTGTTTTGATGTCCCTGGACCAGCCAAGGCGGGCACCCGCTGTTGCCCTTAATCGACCCCCTCGTTGGAATCCCATGGGTGCTTCTTCATCATCGGAAGCTATCTGAGTGGATCCTGTGCGCTTCAGTCTGAAAAATTAAAAAAAATTTGATGGGAGATGAAAAGACAGGATTTGATGTGGTTGCTATCCCTTGGGCACTTCCACTTCACAAACTTTAGCAGGAAACATTCGCTGATGTGAGATAATAAAAGGCGAACTTTAGGTGCTATTTATATAATATAACTATGGTAATCAAGCGTGTTTACAATTATGTCATTGAAAATCAAATTTCATGGGAACCAAGTTTTAAGCGTTGACATTAAATTGAGCTTGTATGCCTACTATAGAAATCTATAAGATATGCATAAACATAATCAGTTATACATATCCATTCATTAACCAATTAGTAAGGTGCACAACACAATTGCCTCTATGAACCAACATCACATTGCTCTATTTCCTTTCATATTAATCAAACGTATACCTGGTTTCCATGACAACTCCATAATAATGACCATTATATGCACAACTTGTCACAAAAAAATAAATAAATAAATAAATAAAAGCTTGGATTCTTACCTGACAAACAACTTTTTAATCCCCTTCTTCTTCTTCCTAATTTCTGTAGGTGGGGTACCGGGAGGAGGGGGTAACTCACCTCGCTGCATAATTTCGAAATTAACTGAGCGTCCACCGCCGATTCGGTACAGATGCTCGTCACTGATGTTATTGGCTGTAAGATGTAATAATAAAAATTGTGGTCATTACTATTGTACAGCTTCAAGTTGAATTATGTGTTTTGTCATGAAACAGACTGTAAATTTTTATCACATAGTTTGCAGAAGATTGTAGCTTATACAGTTATTATGTAATAAACGTAGCTTAGTGAATTCCAACATTAAGTTTGAAATTGTAACACAGACCTTCAACACATGTATATTCAGTATATATTAGTAATACCTTTAAAGAATCCAAGTGTAAAGAAGATCAATCAATTTATTCAATAATTAATGAAATATATTTCACATCTATTAAAGTCAATTACATCAACGCAAGTTGTAAATAGAGTAGAGATCTCCTCCGGGTGATAATAAACAGTGTATCGTGCCAAACCACTAGAAACTACAATATCGGTTGTATTAAACGCATTATGCTAATGCATCCACTAAAAAAAAGGCAATTAGTGAGTCGAAAATCATGCCTTGTTTGCAGATGATATCACAAACAGATGCATTAACCAAAACAAAATATACTTTTATCCTGATAATAATAATAAATCTTTCCATATTTTATGATTAATTTGAAAAGTGTTCATTTCTAAACCACATCAAAAAATCATCATCATCAAAAATAAAATTTTATAATTTCATTCAAATATCAGGGGCATATTTTTGGTCAATTTTTCATTTTGCTTTCTCCTAATCTGGAGTATTCCATCTTTCTGTCCCCCGCAGGATCTGAAACTCATCGCTAATAAGTACCAAGGGTGATAATGTTTGAAGAAGATTGTCTGTCTGAGAAATCGGAAGTACACTGAAGAGCATGTGAAGGAATTCTGGCGTAGAGACATGTTATCATAGATGACATTATAAATATCATCCTCCATTAAAAGCCATCTCATAATTTAAAGTGTGCAGGTAATGTATATGTCAAAGGTCAAGGCAAACAAACAAACAAATCATACAACATAATGATCATCTGTTTTTTACACATGTTTACCATTATACAGTAACAGTTATGGAAGAAGACTAGTTGCAGTAGGCCTATTACAGACAAATGTGACCCAAGCTCACAAAAGGGCTGTAAACTCGTCCTCAGGCCAAAATAATTTTATAGTTATAATGGCATAGAACATATCATTTACTTTAAAATGACAGTTAAATTAACTCAATCGGGTATCTGGAAGCAAAGTTATGACCGTTTGAATAACTGTCATTTTATCATCTTTCTTAAATCATGTTTTGAGAAAAATGCTTCTATTTTCAGCAGGTTTCTATTCATTTTTCAATAGCTCCCATCTGAAAATGGCTAAATTTTACCTCTTACATTGGAATTTTAAACTCAAACTTCAGGAATAGTAAGACTAAAAGTTATACTTTATTTATTACACAAAAACCCAATTCACACAAAATTCACGTTCTACGCCCTATTCTGGCTATGGAGGCTTGTTTCTCAATACAGTGTGGTGCGAGTTTTCAGCCCTTCTGTGAGCTTGGGTCACAAATGTGCACTAAATAAAATGTAATATAGTTTATAGAAATGCATATGGTAGGGTACTTCATGCACACTCGGAAATGTTAGTGCTTGTTTGCAATTTGGTGACTCAAATGTAAGGTTTCAATTCACAATTAAACCTAACCACAAATAAACATACAACCGCACCACAAGGAATCATGGATCGGTGATTGTTGCCATATAAAAATAAAATTAAGATGACGAAGGTAGGGCTCCTCTTTGTTCCAATAACCAAGGTAATTATAGAAAAACACCTAACAAATAATTTATGCGCAAGTGATATATATTAGACTGGCACGTACCCTAATATTATATAATTCTAATACTAATATAATAATGTAATTACACTTAATAATAATAATTATATGAATAAAATAAAGATGATGAAGGTGGGAGGGGGGAGGGTCTAATTCCCTCTTGGATCACTTCCTTGTGACCATGGCCAAGGCACTTCATCCACATTATTTATCTCCACCCAGGTGTATAAATGGCTATCATGGTAGGTTTTAACAGAGTATAAAACTGCAAGAGGTCCGACTCTCAGGATTTCATTGGAACATAATCCTAATTCAAAAAGTACCACCACCACAAACCTAGAGAGCATCCGTCAAACGGCAGATTTCAAACTATATTCAAATTCTAATGACGCCCACCACCCCCTACCTTATGGTAGCACTTTTTTTTAATGTTTCATTGTGTGCATACAAAAACAGGGCAGTCGGATCTCTTGCAACTTATATACTCTTTGGTTTTAACACCAACATGTTGATTTCTAGCTGCAACATTATGTGGAGCACTCCCTCTGGGAGCTGAGTATGTGTTTGAGGCATTTGTTCCAATGACCGGGGTAATTACAGGAAATGCCTAAGATGTTGAAAATATGCGCAAACAGTATATTAGACTCACACGTACTCTATTAATACATAATTCTGAGACTGCTTATTAACATATTTTGTGATTAATGAAAATATTAGTTACAGGCCTCTTTCTAATTAAAGATCCCTCCAATTAAAGTCCATTTCTCTGTGGTCCCAAATTAACAAATGTCTTTCATCTTTATTATTGTAATTAGAGACCAAAGCTGCTAAAGGCAATGTAAACTTCAGTCCCAAAAGTGTTCTTTAATTAGAGGGAGACCTACAGTTATAAGTAATCTGCTAAAGAAAAACTGTATGCAGATATTTAAATAATATAATATATCAAAATGTATCTTGTTATATTTAATACACTCTAATTTATTCAGCTGAAAATAACATATACTGTGGTAGATTATCACTCAAATAAAGTGAATACATCAGAAAAATCAATAGGAGGATCAAAGTTCCGTTGGATGACTGAAGATTTCTTTTATTTTAGGTTCGATTTATTTTAGCCTGTCAGAGTACCTTAGAAGATTCATGTCCCTAAGGGAGATAATGCCTCGGAACCCCCCAGCATATAAATCACACACCACCTTTATATCTACTCAATTGATGGCCTAGATCATATTGATTTGATGTCTAGGTAAATCTTTATAGAGCTGGCAATGTGCAAGCATGAAGGAATAAACTTGATTATCCTATGCAATCAGCCAATGGTCTCATAAAGAGAGGATGATGGGATGTGGTAAGCGACATGAAAGCAGAGATAATCTGCACTAGATTATCTGCTAGATAATCTGCTCTAGATTATGTCCTACATGTCATCTAATGCTTCATAATATGAAATGGTAATGCAAAATATTGGTTTAACATTTGGAAAAAAATTAAAGATAAGCAAGGAATAGTAAAGAAAAGAGAATGGTGTATTATACGACAGAGGTAATATAAGTAGAGTTCATGGAAGAAAGCAATGAAAGAAAACAATAAAAGGAATGAGATAAAATTTGACAACCTAAGTATGGATGATGGAAGTAGAAATGAAAGCAAAATCTATAATAAAAAAAAAAAACAACTAGTTATAAATTATATTCACTTTGTCAATAAATTTATTTCATTTAATATATAACAATATTATTGTCTGAATGTGATCTATGGTTATGTGTTTCCAACTTATATTAGCTTGGATTATTTAAAGAAAATTGATAAAAAATTTATATATCATAAATGTTCTTTTACTTGAGGGTCCCCAGACAATATCAAATGATGGTAATAAATGTAACAAAAGAAATTCTATATGAAAATTGAAGACATTTGAACATAGACTGACAGGTAAATGATATATGGTATTTAAGGGAACTATTTAAAGGGAACGATATAGAAAGTGATGTGAAAACTGTAAGTTTAGGAGTAAGTGGGATCTGATGATGCTGAAAAGTAAGGAAACAAAATAGGAAGCACGGGAACAACAGGGATGTACTGTAGGTGTTGGCAGGACAGAGAAATGAAAGAAAAAATAAAGGTACTGGAAACTAGGAATTACGGAGAAAATGACTGAAAACAGGACAAATTCAAAATGAATATCATTAGTTTAAGAAATCTTTCGTTTTTCTGGACATAAAAACAATGTGGGGACAATGTTCTTTCTTGGGGTCCAGGTAACAAAACTTAAAATAAGAAAATGGAGGAAAGAAAGCAATTGAGAAAAGTGAGAAGAATAAGATAAAAAAAAAAATACAGAAAAGAGACAATATTAGAAAGAAGAGAGAGTGAAAAACAAAGCCAGAAAAAAACAGGTACAAGGACAGGATACTTCATGGATGATGATAATGTGCCTCTGAGCTTTGGCAATATGAACTATGCACTATAAAACCAGCTTTATTATTATTATTATTATAACTAGAAGATTAGTAATTACCGTAGAGAGGGAGATTAGGTAAAATGTAAACATTGTTGAAAACCATATATCCCCTACCTCTTATCCAATGATTGTATGAAACTTAGCACATCACATAATAAATTATTCAGATTATTTGAGTAAAACCGTCAAATTAACAATAAGCATAAAATTTCTTCGCCCATCTTTGAAAGCATGAGTCAGTCAACAGATAATTTCTTTGTGAAATTACAAAATATCAATTTACAAATTTAGTATCGAATACCATATTTGATTGGAAATGTGTATTAATAATAATGGCCTGCATTTATGCAGTAAATACTGCCGGTAGTGAACTTCCACCTTGGAACTCATTTGCTTCTAAGTGCCCACATTAGCAGTCACACCCACTTTTAGCTCACATCCCTATCTTAGTACCCAACCCCACCTTAGTGGCTACTTCCATCATATATAAATTGATCAATTCTGGCTGGATGGACCACCAATACTGTTGGAATAAAATAAAATAAATATATAAAAACAGAGTGAAAAAATAGAAAACAGATAAAAAAAAAAATAAGTAGAAGAAAAGACTAAACTAAACAAAATCTACCCAAAAAGGAAGTTATATAGAGACAAATTTTTATGCATAATTTATTATTTAAGGTGGGCATTCCTGATATCTACAATATTTCCTTTCTTGGCCTTTATTTCCTATGCTTCTGCGTGTTATGTATTTTGAAGTAACTACTGTACTGTAATTTA